GGCCTCTGAAAACTGGGCATTATTCTAGGGCAAAAGGGCCACGACCATGACGGCCCCTGCGGTGTGGCCTGCCTCTGCCTGTCATTTTTTTTCCGGTTAGTGGTACTATGCGTGCAAGCTACTGTGACACCAGAAATGAGTGGCACTGTGAACTGGCAGAGGTTGGCAGAGTATCCACTGTGAGCCTGACACACCCGCTTTGAGACAACTAACTGCTATTCAATCTATAACAGTGAAAAAAGTTTTTGGGTTTTTAAATGCATGCTATTGTGAAACCAGTGAGTGAGTGGTAGCACTGGGCACAGTATCCACTGTGAGCCTGACACAGACGCTGGCAGACAACTAACTGCTATTCAATCTATAACAGTGAAAAATGTTTTTTGGTTTTAAATGCAAGCTATTGTGACACCAGTGAGTGAGTGGTGGCACTGGGCACAGTATCCACTGTGAGCCTGACACACCAGCTTTGAGACAACTAACTGCTATTCAATCTATAACAGTGAAAAAAGTTTTTGGGTTTTAAATGCAAGCTATTGTGACACCAGTGAGTGAGTGGTGGCACTGGGCACAGTATCTACTGTGAGCCTGACACAGACGCTGGCAGACAACTAACAGCTATTCAATCTATAACAGTGAAAAAAGTTTTTTTGTTTTAAATACAAGCTATTGTGACACCAGTGAGTGAGTGGTGGCACTGGGCACAGTATCCACTTTGAGCCTGACACACCAGCTTTGAGACAGCTAACTGCTATTCAATCTATAACAGTGAAAAAAGCTTTTTGGTTTTTAAATGCAAGCTATTGTGACACCAGTGAGTGAGTGGTGGCACTGGGCACAGTATCCACTGTGAGCCTGACACACCCGCTTTGAGACAACTAACTGCTATTCAATCTATAACAGTGAAAAAGGTTTTTTGGTTTTAAATGCAAGCTATTGTGACACCAGTGAGTGAGTGGTGGCACTGGGCACAGTATCCACTGTGAGCCTGACACACCCGCTTTAAGGACACTGACTGCTATTCAATCTATAACAGTGAAAAAGTTTTTGGGTTTTAAATGCAAGCTATTGTGACACCAGTGAGTGAGTGGTGGCACTGGGCACAGTATCCACTGTGAGCCTGACACACCCGCTTTGAGACAACTAACTGCTATTCAATCTATGACAGTGAAAAAAGTTTTTTGTTTTTAAATGCAAGCTATTGTGACACCAGTGAGTGAGTGGTGGCACTGGGCACAGTATCCACTGTGAGCCTGACACACCCGCTTTGAGACAACTAACTGCTTTTCATTCTATAACAGAGAAAAAAGTTTTTGGGTTTTTAAATGCATGCTATTGTGACACCAGTGAATGAGTGGTGGCACTGGGCACAGTATCCACTTTGAGCCTGACACACCCACTTTGAGACAACTAACTGCTATTCAATCTATAACAGTGAAAAAAGTTTTTGGGTTTTTAAATGCACGCTATTGTGACACCAGTGAGTGAGTGGTGGCACTGGGCACAGTATCCACTGTGAGCCTGACACACCCGCTTTCAGACAACTAACTGCTATTCAATCTGTAACAGTGAAAAAAGTTTTTTGTTTTTAAATGCACGCTATTGTGACACCAGTGAGTGAGTGGTGGCACTGGGCACAGTATCCACTGTGAGTCTTACACAGACACTGGCAGACAACTAACTGCTATTCAATCTATAACAGTGAAAAAAAAGTTTTTGGGTTTTAAATGAAAGCTATTGTGACACCAGTGAGTGAGTGGTGGCACTGGGCACAGTATCAACTGTGAGCCCGACACACAGACTCTTGCAGACAACTAACTGCTATTCAATCTATAACAGTGAAAACAGTTTTTTGTTTTTAAATGCAAGCTATTGTGACACCAGTGAGTGAGTGGTGGCACTGGGCACAGTATCCACTGTGAGGCTGACACACCCGCTTTGAGACAGCTAACTGCTATTCAATCTATAAAAGTGAAAAAAGTTTTTTTGTTTTTAAATGCACGCTATTGTGACACCAGAGAGTGAGTGGTGGCACTGGGCACAGTATCCACTGTGAGCCTGACACACCTACTTTGAGACAACTAACTGCTATTCAATCTATAACAGTGAAAAAAGTTTTTTGTTTTTTAAGTGCACGCTCTTGTGATACCAGAGAGTGAGTGGTGGCACTGGGCACAGTATCCACTGTGAGCCTGACACACCCACTTTCAGACAACTAACTGCTATTCAATCTGTAACAGTGAAAAAAGTTTTTTGTTTTTAAATGCATGCTATTGTGACACCAGTGAGTGAGTGGTGGCACTGGGCACAGTATCCACTGTGAGTCTGACACACCCGCTTTGAGACAACTAACTGCTATTCAATCTATAACAGTGAAAAAAGTTTTTTGTTTTTAAATGCAAGCTATTGTGACACCAGTGAGTGAGTGATGGCACTGGGCACAGTATCCACTGTGAGCCTGACACACAGACGCTTGCAGACAACTAACTGCTATTCAATCTATAACAGTGAAAACAGTTTTTTGTTTTTAAATGCAAGCTATTGTGACACCAGTGAGTGAGTGATGGCACTGGGCACAGTATCCACTGTGAGCCTGACACACAGACGCTTGCAGACAACTAACTGCTATTCAATCTATAACGGTGAAAACAGTTTTTTGTTTTTAAATGCAAGCTATTGTGACACCAGTGAGTGAGTGGTGGCACTGGGCACAGTATCCACTGTGAGCCTGACACACCCGCTTTGAGACAACTAACTGCTATTCAATCCATAACAGTGAAAAATGTTTTTTGGTTTTAAATGCAAGCTATTGTGACACCAGTGAGTGAGTGGTGGCACCAGTATCCACTGTGAGCTTGACACACCCGCTTTGAGACATCTAACTGCTATTCAATCTATAACAGTGAAAAAAGTTTTTTGTTTTTAGATTAGACGCTATTGTGACACCAGTGAGTGAGTGGTGGCACTGGGCACAGTATCCACTGTGAGCCTGACACAGATGCTGGCAGACAACTAACTGCAATTCAATCTATAACAGTGAAAAAAAGTTTTTTGTTTTTAAATGCAAGCTATTGTGACAACAGTGAGTGAGTGGTGGCACTGGGCACAGTATCCACTGTGAGCCTGACACAGAAGCTGGCAGGCAGGCATCTGCAATTACATTACACAGGAAAAAGCAGACTGATGTTCTAGCCCTAAAAGGGGCTTTTTGGGGTGCTGTTTTTACAGCAGAGATCAGATGAGTCCTTCAGGACTGTAGTGGACACTGTATACCCTAGCCTAGCTATGCATTTCCCTATCTAATCAACAGCAGCTACACTTTCCCTCCTCTCACTAAGCATGCAACTTGAGAATGAATGTAAAATGGATGCCTTCCACTAGGTGGGAGGGTCTGCTAGGGAGGGTGTACTGCTAATTGGCTGGGATGTGTCTGCTGACTGTGAGGTACAGGGTCAAAGTTTACTCAATGATGACGAATAGGGGGCGGATCGAACCTCGCATATGTTCGCCCGCCATGGCGAACGCGAACATGCTATTTTGGCCGGGAACTATTCGCCAGTGAACCGTTCGGTGCATCACTAGCGTCAAATAGTGTGCTTACAGTGCAGTTGTAAAAATTCTAATTGTTTTGCTGCTAATCTGCTAAATAGTAAATTTTTGTGGGTGCACTTCATATCTGACAGTCAAATAGAAGGGTCAAATAGTGCGCTTGCAGCTGAGTTTTAAACATTCTAATTGTTTTGGTGCTAAACTGCTTAATAGTACATTTGCGGCCTGCACTTCATATCTGAGAGTCAAATAGAAGCATCAAATAGTGCGCGTACAGGGCAAGTGTAAACATTCTTATTTTCTGGGTGCTAATCTGCTAGATAGTACATTTTGGGGGTGCACTTCATATCAGAGAGTCAAATAGAAGCGTCAAATAGTGTGCTTACAGTGCAGTTGTAAAAATTCTGATTGTTTTGCTGCTAATCTGCTAGATAGTACATTTTGGGGGTGCACTTCATATCAGAGAGTCAAATAGAAGCGTCAAATAGTGTGTCAAATAGTGTGCTTACAGTGCAGTTGTAAACATTCTAATCTGCTAAATAGTACATTTGCTGCCTGCACTTCAGTTTATAGGGAAAACGGTTACCTGGATACAATTCTAAAACAATTCCCATATGTCCTTTGCATAGTTTACATGCTGAAAAAACATAGGTGCCAACTGCTGTGGCTTTCTGCAGTGTGCAGACCGGCAATAAGGGCAGGTTTGAGGAGTGGGTGGAAGATGATGTGGAGGATGATGAGGTCCTAGACCCCACACGGCATCAAGGTCATGCAAGTGATGTGTGCAGTTTGGAGGAAGAGGCGCTGGTCGCACAGAGGCACCAGTACAGCATGAGAGGGAGCAGGGTGCAAAAGCAGAGCGGCCGTCCTCTAGCGCTCGTCGGCATGTATTAGCCCAAGAATTACCAGTTATCCAAGTAACAGATGTAGCGATCCAAGGATGGATAGTAGAGTTGAGTGAACCCGAACTACAAAGTTCTGATTCGTACCAGATTTAACGTGCCATTCGTAGTTTCACAGTCAGGAGGGCAGTCCGGTGACCGAGACCCAGACACTGTCTGGGTGGCGGTAGGACAACCAGGAACCAGTATGCCTGATGTTGAAGTTAGGAGTCACTGTCAGTGTGGAATGGATTAGCAGGGTCTGGTGCAGGGTAACTGCACGCCCCCTGGTGTTAAGCACCAGTGTTTGTGCAGCCACATACCAGGACGCTGATGCAGCTTCAGTAAAAAGAGTACTGGATACCAGAAGCCATCACCAGACTGATCCGCAACTTGGAACAGGATGTTACATTCACTGTAGCGGCTGTGCGCGCTTTCGGCGTTCTCACCCTGCTGCTGCTTGCCTGTCTGAGCTGCAGCGCAACATTGGCTTTCCTGCTCACCGCCTCATATGTGACGTGCCCACAAGGTGGAACTCCATCCACCTTACACATGCTGGAGAGACTGTGCAAGCAGCAGCAGGCGATAGTGTAGTTTCAACTGCAGCACGCAGGGGTCAGTCGCTCTGCACCAGACTTGCCCTTCAATTGATCAGAGTTAAAGGATTTCAAGTGGACTCATTACAATTACAGTGCCTCTAAAGAGTCCTGTATTGTTATTTGACGTCACTACCTTCCCGCGTCGGGAGTGGGTAATTTGCGCGCCTGCTGCCTTCCTTGCATGTGGTAGCCGTTTCTAAGATTCCATCTCCATAATCCAACCCTGATTCCCCGTGGTCACCATGGTAGGCGCAGAAACTGGCATCGAAAGTTGATATGGATGACATCCGAATGCAAAGTCGCAGTCACGCGGACGTTCGATTGGCCCAAGGTTCTCTAAAGTAAACAAAGTGCCTGCTCAACTATAATGTCAACAGCTACTCTGCCGAACGGATCTTCACTAATAGGTAGGGAATGGAGGGGGGCCCTGTGCCTGTCCCTTCTCTTCCCCACTCTCTGTAAGCCATAATCATTGAGCTTATGACAAATCACGGCTTGAACTATCTTGCTTTGCATGTAATGCGTCTATCTCATATATTAGTTTCCCTTTTTATATTGCATTACTGAAATAAATGAATTTTTGCACGATATTCTAATTTTTTGAGTATCACCTGTATTTGACTGAATTGGATTGATTCTATAAGCTTAGAAGACAGAGTGGTAATTGTAGTAGCAATTATGTAATTAGATCATGAGTGGTTCACTGGCTTTGCATCTTTTCCTAAGCTGTGTTTCAAAGCTGTACAGGCATACCCCACCTTTAAGTACACAATGGGACCAGAGCATGTATGTAAAATGAAAATGTACTTAAAGGACCACTATAGTGCCAGGAAAACATACTCGTTTTCCTGGCACTATAGTGCCCTGAGGGTGCCCCCACCCTCAGGGACCCCCTCCCGCCCGGCTCTGGAAGGGGAAAGGGGTAAAAACTTACCTTTTTCCAGCGCTGGGCGGAGAGCTCTCCTCCTTCTCTCCTCCTCCATTCCTCCTCCTGGGCTGAATGCGCACGCGCGGCAAGAGCTGCGCGCGCATTCAGCCCGTCGCATAGGAAAGCATTTACAATGCTTTCCTATGGACGCTTGCGTGCTCTCACTGTGAAAATCACAGCGAGAAGCACGCAAGCGCCTCTAGTGGCTGTCAATGAGACAGCCACTAGAGGATTAGGGGGAAGGCTTAACCCATTCATAATTATAGCAGTTTCTCTGAAACTGCTATAATTATGAAAAAATGGGTTAAGCCTAGAAGGACCTGGCACCCAGACCACTTCATTAAGCTGAAGTGGTCTGGGTGCCTAGAGTGGTCCTTTAAAGTGAAGCAATACCTTTTTTCACTTCCCAGTGCATGTACTTCATTGCAATAGGAATTTACAGGCATAACTGATACTGCAACTGCAGATTTCCAACTGCAGATTTCCAGTGATTTTATTTCCAGTGATTTATTTGGTGATTTCCAGTGGGCTTTTATTCAGTTAAAACAAACAGTAAAAAAAAAAAAATCTCATTCCAGATTGTACTATTTATCTTTAATGTTTTACTCAACTGACAACCTTAAACTGTGAGGAAAAGTAAAATAATCCTGCCCACTGGGTCATTTTCTGCCAATACAGAGCCAATTTGTATTTATTAGCAGCTTAGTTGCACACTTTGTTTAGAAACACCTCTTCATCACTTTAAGCATTTATGGTTTAACTTTGAATCCTCAGAATTGTGGCTAATGCACCTAAGCTGCTAAGTTATAGTTATAGAAAATGGCCACCCTTTCACTGGATGGCGCCGATTGCAGAATATGAACAATGTAGGGCAGAAAAAAAAAATATATGTTCAGGTAGGAGTAGGCAGTATAAATTTGAGAATATTAACCTGTGCCATGTCAGAAGGTGTGAAAAGTTCTTGCCCCAAAGACACTGATCTGAGCTCCTCCGGGCGAGAATAGAACCTTCCATTTTCTGTTCACTCGCAGGCAGAAGAGGCGCAGGAATGTCTGTACTCGCTAGGCACCTTTCCGTATAGTCGCGGGTATGTCTGTACTCACGAGTGTGCTTAAAGTGAGTGTATGTAAAGCGGGGTATGCCTGTATACAGCAAACACAGACTCAAAGGAATCCATGTTTAAAATGGAATGAGGCAAAAATGTGTTTTTGTGTTGAATTAATTTGCATATGCCCAACCAGATTCCTTTGCTGTGTGAAAAGCAATATTATGGCTTAACTGGTGTGCAGATTTTTGTTTAACATTGTATTGACTATACAAGACGCAGCCAAGCTAGCAGACGAACATCACGATGCAAGCCGATATCAGCGTCCACCTCCCTGCTTATTCTCCAGACTTGCAGCACCTCTTCCAGCTCCTGCAACGTCGACTCTACCACGACCAGGAGGGGCCAATAACCAATACCCACCAAGATACTCAACCCAGCCTAATATACAATGCCACATCTGCAACCAGTTGGGCCATGTACAACAAAAATGCCCACGGAACCGAAATCGACAAGCCTGGCCCAATCAAGGCCAAGCTCCCGGTGCTCAGGCTACCGTACATTGCTACCAGAGTGAACCCAACGTCCAACACACCTCAGCCACATCGGTAGAGGAACCACTGGGGACACTACATGAGGTCAACCCCATTAAAGCAGCCTCAGTCAATCGACAGGGTCATCGCCAGGTTGTACAAGGAGAGGAAAAGTGTACAAGTGTACTTCTGAGGCCACTTTGACCGTGGTCTGGAATCACCTTATTCCTAAGGGAGCCCACACCGGAGATTGTGTGGCAGTGCGAGTAGCAGGGGGAGCAATCTACAAAGTCCCCACTGCCAAGGTACATTTGGATTGGGGAGCGGGGTCAGGGGACGTTGAGTTGGGGATCATGCAAGACTTGCTGGCAGACATAATTTTGGGCAACGACTTCAGCTTTTATTCCCTAAGCCACAGTACAAGAAGCCTACCCAGTCGTCACCCGAAAGCAGTCCTGCAACGCGGCTCCATCCACCCACTGTGAGGCTCAGGTAGGCAACCTAGCCCCTACTCCCTCTGTCCTCCCCTGGGATGCCTCCTTAGAAATTGGCAGTGAGGTAGCACTATATCACTATATCACCTTACAGGTGTACAAAGACAGGATAACCAACAGCCAGGCTGGTCTAGAAGGAGAAAGGTATGCCTGGGACAAAGGCCTGTTATACCACTACGCGGAAAAGATAGTAGGGGGGTCCATCCCTATGCCCACTAAACAGTTAATAGTCCCCCAAAAATATAGGCAGGAATTGCTGCGCATAGCACATGATATATTGCTGTCAGGACATCAGGACACCAAACATCGACTAACCCAGAACTTGTACTGGTCAGGTATCTCCAAGGATATTAAACAATATTTTAAAACTTGTGATACCTGCCAGAGGGTAGGGAAGTGAGGAGACCGCTATAAAGCGAAACTCCATCACCTCCCAATAATTGAGGAACCCTTTAGTAGAGTGGCCATAGACTTAATAGGACCCTTAGCTTAACCCAGTCCCTCCGGCAAGAAGTACATCTTGACCGTATTGGATTATGCCACTAGATATCCTGAGGCGGTGGCACTGACCAATGTTCACGCAGAGACTATAGCGGATGCCCTGATGCAAATTTTCTGCCGCATGTGATTTCCCCGGGAGATCATTTTGGATAGGGGCTCCCAATTCACTGCAGAGGTCAACAGGGTACCGAACCGAAACCGACAAAAGAACTGTCGAACGACGACCACCTAGGCACAGGCGTGTGTCTCTAATTAACTTGAGGTTTTGCGGTTAACCGCAGTATAATCACTCTGGAAGGTATGCGGGGTTAAACCCTTAAATCTTAAATTCAGCATATCACCCCGAGTCCAACGGTCTCTGCGAACGTTTCAACGAAACACTTAAACAAATGATCGGTACGTTCATAGACACCCAAAAGAACTGGGAACGGTTCTTACCCCACCTACTATTTGTGTATAGGGAAGTTCACCAAGAGTCCACCGTGTTCTCCCCCTTTGAATTATTGTTTGGGAGAAGGATGAGGGGTCCCTTAGACCTCATCAGAGAACACTGAGAGGGAGAAGTGAACACTAATGGTACCCCTGTTGTCCAACCTCCAGGCGGCCCAACAACGGCAGTGTAGATGGTATGATGGGGGGGCCAGGGATTGCAACTTTCAGATAGGTAAAAAGGTGTTAATCCCAAGGCACAATGACAAGCTGCAGGTCTCCTGGCAGGGCCCATACAAGGTGGTAGAACAAATCTGTGATCATGCGCTGGAGCAGGTGGCAGACGCATGCTCCATGTGAACATGCTGAAGCCATACTACGAGCGCATAGAACAGATAGCCACTATTTGCGCCTCTGCCGCAGAGGACTTTGATAACTTACCTCTCCCAGACCTCCTAGAGAAGGAAGACCAGAACGAGGGCCTGGGAGAAGTACAGCTAGGTGAGTGCCTGAGTCCCCAGGAACGGTCACAAGCTCAAGATCTAATTAGGAATAAGAGGGCCACATTCTCTAACCTTCCCGGGTACACACCGTTAGCTACCCACAGGGTAGAAACCCCTGGGCAAAGAGATTGAGGAAATGTGGCAGTTGGGTGTTATAGAACACTCTGACAGCCCCTGGGCCTCCCCGGTAGTATTGGTACCGAAGCGGGATGGGACAACCCTATTCTGCATAGAATACAGGAGGCTCAACGACAAAAGCGTATCTGACGCCTATCCTATGCCCCGGATAGACGAGCTCCTAGATAAAATGGCCAGGGGCCAGTACCTCACTACAATAGATCTTTGTAAGGGGTACAGGCAGATTCCCCTAGCCAAAGAAGCCATTCCCAAGTCGGCATTTGTCACCCCGTTTGGCCTGGATCAGTTTAAGGTTGTGACGAGACCAATCTCGCCACATTGCATTGGAGAAGCCTGGTTGCTCGCCTGCTGCCTTTGGACTATGGCCCCTTTTTAAAGACTTTATTTTTGCCTGCAGAAAAGCTGTATTCGTGCTTTTCTGCCTGGGGTTCAGTAGATTTGTTTGAATGTGTTACACCCCAGATAGGAATCCCATGGAGCCCATTCGTATGAAACTGACTGTAAAGACTTTGGCTCCATGGCGATTAAACTGCATTTGTGTGGTCCGAGCGCCATTCACTTAATAATGTGCGCTCAGACCTGAGCTATCTGGGGATGTGTAAAATGTAACTTTATGTATTTTAAAGTGTTTTACTGTCTTTGTGTCTTTTTGCAACCATGTGCTTAATGGAGTCTTGTGTCTGTCCTGGGAGATAATCGAATTACTTATCTCCAGGATAGAAGACTCTGAAACTGGTTTGGGCCAGAAAGCCATGCTTCATTTAGTCACAAAGGACTTTTTACTAACTTTTGAACCCCTGGTCTGATTCATGCCATTTTTTAATATGTTGTTCCCCTGAATGGATTGATTGTGAATATGTAATTTTATGTGAATGTGATGTATGGTTTTAGAGTTATGAAAGTTGGGTAGAAAGTATGTTTTAACTGTATGTATAATTGAGTTTCCTCTCAGGATAAGGGGAGGGAATATGTGGGATGTAACTGGGATGTGATTGGTTGTTTTATACCTCCCTGTGGGCG